TCACGCTGCACTCTGCCGCTTTGTGAGAGGCTTATATTGAAAACGCTATGTCTCGTCACCAGTAAAAATCGATTTTGTAAATTTTGTATCACTCTGGGCCGACCGTAACATGTCTTTGCACCGTTCCACTCTGGCATGTTTTTCATCGCCTGACAGCGCGTGCGGTACAAATCGCGCACAGACCTTCCGTTTGCCCAAATCCTTGGTCAAAATTTGATGCACAATACTTTTTGGTATTCCCAAAAGCTCCTCGATGAGTCTTGCAGAAACACATCTGTCTGATGCAAGGATTTCGGTCCCTTTTTTCACATTTTCTTCAGTGCGACTTGTTCTCGTCTTTGATGCACTTGGAGCGTCTTCAGTGTCCTCCCTGCCGTCACGAAATACAGCATACCATCGAAAAATATTAGAGCGACTCAAACAATCACTACCGTACACACTTTTCATCATTTCGTACGCTTCTCCGGCTGTTTTGCCCAACTTCATACAAAATTTGATGTTCGCTCTCCGTTGAACCGCCATTTTCCGACGAGCGTCAGGGCCGTCAGGGCAGTACTGTTACATTCAAGGTCAGAACGGTCAGAACACATGATGCAGCGATGCTTGCGCTTTGAAATTATAGACAACCACAGCTGAAACTTCATGAATCTTAACGCTACAACTCGCCACCAGATGGCATTGCAGGGCACCCCCCCCCCCAAAATGGAGTCCTAACGGATCCTGGACACACCATGAATATAAGGCATATTATTAATCTGAAACTTACCCTAGAACAAAATTTAACCAAAGTACAAAGACCTTCCTAATTTTCTCATAATACCAAGTGACACCTCTACTCGCGCGGCTTTCCTTCAGGCTCCTCAAACCTCTGAACCACCAATTACCTAATATCATGGATTGATAACAAGCGCTATTAATGTTAGCAGCTCCTCCCCTCTTACCTACTTGCTACTACAGTACTTGATGACTACTGCTGTCTTTGTCTCTAGTTATGCTGTTGTGTACTTAATGCTCCCCTAATGGACTGGGGTGTCCAAGCTTTGAGCAATACCCAACGAAAGTCGGTATTTCAATAACAAAAACTTACTTATTTACTTACTCATGGAGCTGAGCCATTCTGGAGGAGCCGCAAATTCTGCAGCTACTCAAAAATTTCCCAACATTTTATGGAAACCGAAGGTTCATTACCGTGTTCATATGAGTCCTCCACTGGTCCCCATCCTGAGCCAAACCAATCCAATCCATACCGTCTCATCCTACCTCTCTATTGTCCACCCACCTACGCCTTGGTCTTCCCTGCGGTCTCTTTCTTTTTGGCTTTCCCACCAATATCCTGTACGCATTCGTCTCCCCCATTCGTGCTACATGCCCTGCCCACCTCATCCTCCTTGACTTGATCGAAACCTGATTCAGGAGGAAATTAAGAGGCGATTGAACTCGGGTAATGTTTGCTACCATTCAGTCCAGAACCTTTTGTCTTCTCATCTGCTGCCCAAAAACATAAAAATTATAATATACAAAACTATAATATTGCCTGTGGTTCTGTATGGGTGTGAAACTTGATCTCTGACATTAAAGGAGGAACACGGACTGAAGGTGTTTGAGAACAGAGTGTTGAGGAGAATATTTGGACCGAAGAGAGATGAAGTGACAGTTAGGCTGGAGAAAACTGCATAATGAGGAGCTTTATAACGTGTACTCTTCTCCAAGTATAATTAGAATGATCAAGTCAAGGAGATGAGGTAGGCAGGTCATGTAGCACGAATGGGGGAGACGAGGAATGCGTATAGGATATTGGTGGGAAAGAGACCACAGGGAAGACCAAGGCGTAGGTGGGTGTACAATATTAGAATGGATCTTAGAGATATAGGATGGGATGGTATGGATTGGATAGATCTTGCTCAGGATAGGGACCAGTGGAGGGCTCTTGCGAACACGGTAATGAACCTTCGGGTTCCATAAAATGCTGGGAAATTCTTGAGTAGCTGCAGAATTGGCGGCTCCTCCAGAAGTGCTCAGCTCCATGAGTAAGTAAGTAAGTAAGTAAGTAATAATAATAATAATAATAATAATAATAATAATCTATTACTGTGCACATCTCGAAACAAGAACATTACAAGCCTAATCATATTTCCGTCTTTTGAAACATTTGTAAACCTGTAACCTCGACTAGCTTCGTCGGTGCAGGCAGAAAACCCAGAAAAAGAACGAAAGGAACCTCTCTGCATATTACCCCATTATCACTTGGAACAGAATCACAAATGGTCCAATGGTAGCCTAAACACATACAAAAAGCCCCGGCAAAACCTTACCCTCAACGGCCGGAAGGAGAACCCAAACAGCTTCACCACCTTTCTTGCCGACCGCTGACAAACGAACTTGCAACTCCCCCTACTCCTACCGCTTCCTACAGACATTTTTCCGTGCGTAAACGGTATTGATGGGATTATGTAAACGGAATAAGTACCGGCACGGCTACCAATGGGGGGGGAGAGACATCCCAGGCCGACTCTTTCCTAAGCCATAAGAATGTACACATGGCTCAAATGCTGTCTTTCCTAAGGTAAAAAAGTTACAGTTGTCCCTGTAAAGTAAAAAAAAAAAANNCCCGGAAGATTCCCGGTACTCATTTCTGTTAGAGGCTGAGTCGACCCCAGGGCCATAGTGCGGCTGGAAGGATTAGGTATATTGAAAAATTCCACCTAATCGGGATTCGATCCCGCGACCTTCCGGCTTGTAGCATAGTGCCTCAACATAGTAGTCCCTGTGCTTAACTAATTAAGCACTACGACATTAAGGCGTATGGGGGAGTGGATGTATAGATCCACGTTTTCTTGAGCTCGGCACTGTTGGAGGTGGGTGGTCAGGTTCGCGTCTCAACCGCTTTACACCCGGGAAAAGCTCCCGGTACCCATTGTATAGGAGGTTAAGTGGACCCCAGAGCCGGTCTGGAAGATATGGAGAAGCAAAAAATCTTTACCCTACAAGGACTCGAACTCTGACCTCTCGGTCATTCAGCCAGTAGCCAGCTGATATATTGACTACGGTATCCCGGGAAAAACGTGAAGTTGCACATACTCAGAGTGAAGCAGTCTTAGCAAATAGACACCTGACGATGGCCGTATATGGCTGAGAGATGTAGTGGAGAGAGACAGAATAAGCGGGTTGCATTGTGGACAGGAGTACAGTGCGTGAATGAGAGTATATTAAAGCAACAGGATGCATAAATACAATATTATCTTAAAATAATTTTGTTCTTATTTGAACATCCACTATGACTCTACTTGCATCTAAACTTACAATACTGATAACTATCAGACAAGTCATCCAGCACATCAGAATTAAGACAAAGTTTGTCTCAACTAAATTTATGAAGCATTCAAACATTTAATCTTATTGTTAACTCAAATGTTTGTATTTGTTAAGGAGGGTTACTACAGACATCAGAATCAACATCTGTTGGCTATCTCCTTTGCAAAATCAAGCCACAAGCCACATATGTTACTCTTGGCTTCTGGGAGGGTATTTACTGATGAGCTTGGTATCAGGCCTATACAGCATCTGATAAATGATGAACTGGAAAGAAACTGTCACCACAAAATCGAGGTACCACCCTGGCACTGCCTGAAGTGACAGAAGAAAATCAAAGGAAAGTTGTCAGGATAGTCTGTGTATTGGTCAAGATTCAAACCAAACACCTCTGAAATACCAGTTTACGGGATTACCTCTAGATCAAATTGTTCAGACATTCTTAATACTAAAAACTGTAAATTAACGGTCACCTTGTCAAGCAAACCATATATCACTATTATCTTGGTTACAAATCTACGTAATTACACTAATTCAGTCATCATAGAACTCGTGAAATATATGATCAAATATATATTTCCTTCACTGTAAGTGTCTAACCTAAAAGTAAAAACACCTGTAAATTTGGTTAGAAATATGTAGACTGAAAGTCAGTCTCATTATTGTAATAATCAGAGTCCTACATGGTGGTCCCCTGATATAATGAAACTTGTTAATTTACTTCCTCCTCACTACAATGTTCTCAAGCATAAATCAGCTTCTGCATTGCTGTATCATGTGCTGAAGTTTTCTACATACTCAGATTACTGGGAGGTTACAGAAGACAACTCTAGCTTCCTTGAAAGGAACTCTTTCTTTCACTAAAAGATGTGTGTATAAATAAAGGAAAAGATGGAAAAATTAATGACAGCATTGGCAGAGGGTAGATGGAGTGATAAAAAATATCCTAGGGTCAATTGCTGGTTAACTCCTTCCACTGACAGTGTACAATAAATTACAATTCATCAGTGACTACACTGAATAACAGCATGAATCAAGCCAAGTCTGTAAACCAGTGGGACTTGCCAGTCATCTGAACCATTTTTTTCTCTCAGAGATTTCTTCAGGGCTCCTATTTTCTACAGAGGTTTCTGTTTCCCAGCTCTCCTTTATCAGCCCCTCTGCATGTGACACATAATTTTTCCATTGTTGGAGCGACCTCCAAGTTGGGAATTTAAATGTTTACTAATGTGTATACACTCTACAGCAATAATTAAAAAAGGCCAGAAACAGAATTAATATTATGTGACACTCACAACACTCTACAGCAATAATTAAAAAAGACCAGAAACAGAATTAATATTATGTGACACTCACAAAGTCTGTTCTACTGTAAATACAGAAAAACATATACAAACAAACGTATACAAACCTCCTCCAGTAATTACTCCATCTCTTTCACACTTTCCGTTCTAAGCCCATTTTGAACAATGCTGCTATTGTAATATCATTTAGACTAGGAGCAAATCGGTTCAATTGGGTTCAGATACCAGTGATATGATGGTATGTGTAAAAAATTGGGCGCATGCTCTACTGAATTCACAAATTTTAAGTCTGAGGAAGAATTTCCTATAACATAAGCTTAGGATCGGTGAACCATAAGTTACACGAAAACGTGAGAGAAATTACACACATATCAGACATGTACTTACATGTAGGCCGAATTCCTTCCATCTTGCTCCAGCTGTAGCATCACTCATTTCAGTATTTCTGTGCTATAAATCTGGTAATTTTTATATTTTCACTCTCTTCTTAGAATAATAATTTCCTAATCATGTCCAATTTACTAGTCTCGCAATAAGTTCACACGAATCGTCACTCCGCACTTAACTCCGCCAAAACATTCACCTATGATTGCTTGGGTGGGTATCCTACACGATTGTGTATTACGGGTTAGAGGTTGTTCAGAATTGTCCACTGTTAAACATATCTACACAATGTTTCTCCCACATTTCTTCAAGCATGAATGTACCTAGCCATATGTACTGAATGTAATCACTCTCGTTTTATGTTCCGTTTCTTCATAGAGCTGTATCGGAAACATTAACACTAGATCAAAGCCTAAGGACGTACGTGGGTCACGCAATAACGTTACGCGGGAACAGTACAAATCACAAATATATTACGCACGATAAATTATATATGCAATAGTACATAAAACTAATCACTAGCTACATCAATTACCGCCTCCCACCTTGAGGGTCCATGTGTACCAACATCTGCACACGGAAATACCCAACCAACATTGTAACTTCCATCCTACAAACATGCAGCGATTAACAAATCCAATATTAGCTGTATATACTTTCTATATTCTACATATTTTTAAACTGAAAGTGTTCACACCGCCTGGAACAGGTCACACTGTCAACCCTTTCTATAAATCTGCTTATCAATGGACAATATTACAGACTTCTTCAATCAGATAATCTCCTATTGAATAATAGCACCCCTTAATAAGTACATCCCTCAATTCCTTTTTAAACTGGCTGTTGTTACCTATTTCTTTTATGTTGCTGCAGAATATACTATCCACTTTCTTCACACTCAGATTCTGAAAGACTTGCCCGGTTTTTATGAAATGAACAATATGCCACTCAAGGCCATCCAAGAGCAATCATTTCTAATTTATTAGACTCGGTAGTAAAAACACAATGGACATGTCAAGGGGGAGACAACTGCAGTGATTAGCTTAGAGCAGCACTTGCTGATATTCGGTTCTGTTATGTTAGGTTTGCACAACACACCCCTGCATATTGTCCTCCTTATTGTGGCAGCACATGGTGAGATCCAAATTGAATTTCACTGAACCATTTAGTGTTGTAGAACTCTTCATATCCATTGGTGTGAGAACCACAAATCCCACTCCACTTACATAATATAGTAGACAGGTACCAACATTCAAACAGAGCCCCCCACTTACGTTCCTTTGGTATGGTGGTACCTATCTGCCAAACTACATGGTGTCATCCCAGAAGATAGTAAGCTTTCATCCTTTTCCTCTTGTGAACTGCTAGTGTGATGACTGGGGTAAGAAAAGGGGAATCAAATGATAAGAGTGGAAATGGGAGAAGGGGATGTTGCTGAGCCAGGTCAACTAGTAAAGTTATTACTGATTGTGAAAACATTAGTCTCCTTGTTGAATATTAATTGCCCACACAAATATAATTCAACAGTGCTAAATAAAACAAACAGAAAAATCAACTGGAAACAAGATAATGTGTAACAATGAACTCACTGTTTAGTTGCTGTCTTCAAGATATTCTATTTGATATACAGTGTCACCTAAAATTACACACTAGCAAAACTGACAGCTGTAGCAGCACTGATCAACAGAAAGACCTTGAGCCACTTAACAAGTGACATGCTCTCCCATATTTAATAGTCATTTTAAAATATTTATTTATAAATGTGCAAGGTGTAAACAAAACTCAAGCTAGTATTTACAAACAATAAACAACAATAAACAAAAATACAGTGTCTTCTTACTGATAAGTCTTTTTCATAAGTACGGTATACTTCTGAACATGTCAATGGATTAACTATTTTACAGTTTGTCCAAGTACAAATTTCTAGGAGCATTCAAACCCTGTGGAGAGTTTGTTCATTCCATCAGTCTGTAAGCCTAAACAACCCAAGAATTGCTCGACAGAAGCTTCATGAACTTCAATATTTGATAACTTCTATAAAGAATTGTCCTGCCATTTCAGCTTTCGTTTAAACTGAACAGTGATTATAATTACTCCATATGCAGACCTACATCTGTTTCTGTGTGTATCTTGAGTGTAATTCATTAAATATTTATTGGAGTGGAAAATGTTTCAAACAAAAATACTAGAGAGAAATAAAACAAATTTTATGTTCAATGCACTTTTTCAACAAGCTTCATGGGTTTCAAGATAAATGAAGTCAGACCCAAGGCATATATTCTGAATTTCTACATTCAATGACTACCAACATCCCCCCCCCACACACACCAGAAGCTTGGATTACCACTGTTTCCAATTATTCAGGAATCTTTTCTCCTTCACAGCACAGATAACTGGGAGTACACTGCAATCATAAAATTGAAATGTGTCTGTGCCATTTTCACACTGGAGTATTTGCTTCTGTTGTAAAATATCTACTGTCTATCTTATAGATGTTTACTCCACCTCTCAAACATTTTGAGACAATATACACTATGTTGATGAATGGTGATTTGAATATATGTGGTAGAGTCATTAAGTTCGTGGAATGTGGTTTATCGCATCATATTACAAGGTAGTCACATACACTTATGCAGATCCACATTCGCCCTCAGAATAGTTGCCGTTGGCCACTATGCAAGTCTGCCAACGTTGATACAGCTATCGAAAACACTCTTGAAACATATTGGCACTAAATTCCCGTATGACGCTTTGCGGCCATTCCACGAACTTATTGACTGTGGTAGTAGTGATGTTACAGCCACAAGGAAATCAGGATAAGGACTGATGATTACTTTATACAGAACAAATAATGCTATGAACTATTTATCAAAACAAAAGCTGAGATTTGAGTTTCTCATGGTGGTGGCTATGAGTACTATCTTCTGGGATATAATGCCATGTAGTCTGGTTAGTCATTCTATTTCTGGCTGCTCACTTGGCTTACTCTTTTATGCTTAAAACAGAAGCAGTATGTTCTTCAAAACGTTGATCTCTGCCTCCGGCTTCATGCTCGTTCAGGTTACACTTTTACCATGGAGATGGGGCAATACACTCCCCTGAACCAAACTCCTACCAGATTACATGGCCTCACATCCCAGAACAGAGTATTTCTCAAAATAAAATTTACCTGTACACGAGCAGGTCAAATAGGATTAAGCAATACGTCATGTGCTGCAACAATGCCATAAAGAGAGAGGGTATAATATTTGTACATCTTGTCCCCTTCGTTACCAAGGATAATAAGGAGCTGAATATGTCAGCATTCTTTTATGGAATCCCTGTATATGGAAACATGAAGAAGAGAAACTCTTTGATGAACTAATATAATTAACAGAATTAATTAAATGTTATTCACTGTCATTTCTCTTTTATATTGACATCCTGTACACAATCTATCAAGAGTCTACTATATTTATTTACAATACAAGTTAAGTTCTTATATGAAACACATTACAAAGAAATGTTGCATTCCCAAGTAACTTAAGAGTAATATCCGACTAGAAAAAGAATGTTTCATTACACATTAATTTTAAAAGCTTACATAAATTATATAATTAACACATATAAAGTAGCACCATAAACTTAGCCTATATCTCTCTGAAAATAAAAACATATGAATATGTTATCTACATTATTAAAAATACAGCTTGTATTTTAAATTTGTGCACCAGACATAAATCAACAGCATCTTTCACACACAAAAAAGGAAAGAAAAATTAGCAGAAACAGTCCTAATTTGTCTTTCTCTTTACACTAAACCCCCCTGCATGGATGTTCAGGTTATGGAAATCATAAAACACGAATACAAATCATGATATGGACCACAAATATGCCATAACACAAATTTATACTATTTCTTAAATACAAACTGAAAATTATTTAAGAAATTCAGACTGTGTATACACAAGCATGAGTGATGATGCAGGATATGTAGCTGGCTAATGACTAGCCTATGAGCATGCATTAGTAATGAGAGATGGCTGGTAGCATGGCTTGTATCTCCATGCATCACCTCACCCATCATTCAACATTTCTGGTTAGTAAAGTGAATGTTTCAAAAGATTTTAAACTTCTATAATTTTTATGGTTATGCTTTCGTTACAATTGTGGTCAGAAAAATTTCCATGGGTACACACTTCCACTTGTAACAAGGAAATTAGATAGAAAAATAAGGTTCCCAGCACTGAACTTGATGGTACAGAACAATTTTCCAGAATATAATCCTACCATATTGTGGGGGTATGCTGTTGTTAGAAGCCAGTGTGGAATTTTGCCTAACTTTGCATTATATTGTCAACTGTCATCATGCAATATTACATTCTGTCAATGGCAAAAAACATGAAAGACTGTAAGCAAAAAATGGAAGTACCAAATACATGGAATAAATTAACACGAATGGTAAGTCACTAAGTAAGTTACACACCCACATGTGTGCGCACGCTTACAGAGACATATGCACACTGCTCCATGACCATGAAACAAACGAGGCAACAGCTTTTGCTAGGCAGCAGCTTGCAAGCCAATGGACTGGCTCTAAAGCAGTATTTTCTGTGGCATTTGTGCTGATGACTGTGCACAGAACAATGGATATAACAGAACAGCTGTGTTCTGTGCAGTCGCAGTCCATGCTGAGGGGTTATAAGTAGGACAACGCTGAAGATTAGTTCAGTTAAGGGATATTTACCACATGGTAAGGACGTAAGCAGAGGACACTTTTATGATCCGTTATCAGAAAACGACTAGTGAAGGCATAGAAGACTCTATGTGTGCTGTAGTCATGGTGATTTTTAGAGTGTGTACACCAGTGAGGCTGTTATAGTTAACTGTAGCTGTCATCTGTGGTCAATAAATCAAATTACCAATCCAAACCCTGTTTATACTCACCAATACATGTGATAATTTGGTGCAGAGCAATAGCATTTGTCATCACTAGGCAGGAGCACCAAGCAAATACACGTGTTCACAGCCGAATGCAATCAACACAGAAAAGAGATGACATTTGTATTGCAAAAGAGAATACAAGAAGAATGAGCCATAATTTGGATTTTAAGGGCCAATGTTCATCTTTCTGGATCTATAAAGAAACGGTGCTTGTGTAACGTGAGAAGTACTGATTGCATGCAAATATTCACAAGGAAGAAGCAAAATATTTGCAAGATTGTGAAATGGTTCAGGTCAAAGCCACATCAGGCCGTCCCAATGTAACTGGAACAGATGCCATTTTGCTGTCCGTGGAAGCAAAGATTTCAAGTGACTGTTATGTACGTGCTTATGTACGATGTTTCCACAGCATTCCGTGTGACTGGTTCCAGTTTCAGTATTAGGTACTCCACCCATCCATAAAATGCAACAACTCATGCTTGATCACAAGTAATGCACTCAAAGTTTGATCCAAACCCAAAAATTCAGTAATGTAACAGAAGCAACAAAATCACTCGTGTCCAAAAACCTGAATAAAGATGAGACAACAAATTATTCAAGCATACTGAGATGAGCAAGATATCTTCCTTGTCCGGCATGTAGTCTGCTGGGTTATGACACCATGTAATCATGCATGCAGACAGAGACATTTCAGAAAAAATTTTACTTCCAACTTCTGTGTTGAAGTATGTCAGGTAGGAGGTTGCGCCATACCTCAAGCGGTTAGTTGTTGACTTCCCACCGTGGCGGCCCGGGTCTGGTCAAGTGGGATTTGTGCTGGACAAAGTGGCGCTGTGGCAGGTTTTCTCCGAGTATTTCGGTTTCCCCTGCCAACCTTCATTCTACCAAATTCTCCATCATCATAATCACCTGGGAAAGGCTACAATAGGCCAATCACTGGCCGCCGTGCCGAGTGGACCCAGTTGGACTCCACCCCCCACTAAGAGAAAAATGTCAGGCAAGAATTAGTTTGATTGTACCGCCAGGTTGCAAGAAAGTGGTCACTTTGACCCATGAGAGGAGTGGGTAAAGAAACTAGGACTGAAATGGGCCAGTGAAATGATAGGTAGGAAATCGCCCATTTTGAGGATCACATCAATATTAATTAACCAATTCCTCAAAAAACCTCAGTATTCACCTAAGAGCCTACACACTGTTCTAGTGTGAAATACCAAAATTTCAGCCAAGAAAGCCTGTATAATCTTTGCACATTTCCAGAACCTTGGTTCTGCGAACATTTATATAAACTGGGAAGACTTTTACAAGACATGACCTGGGATGTTGCCTCATGATGTACCCTGGTTAGCATGTTTGAAAACTGAAACCATTATGGGTACAGGTACAAGATTGCAGATTTTGGCATTATGTTCTGAACAATGCCCAGTTTTGATGTTTTTGCTTGTGGAAGAATCATCTTATGACAGATACCTTATAGAAGATGTGGGAATGGACTTAACTGTAACTCAATGGTCCTGATGAAAGAGGGACTTTCTCTAGCAGGGTTCCATGCACTGGAAAGGCGACAGGACAGCTGAAGCATGCATCCAAAAGAATACAAAGCTAGTCTCCACTTATTTTATCAACAGTGTGTGTTCTTCCAGATTTTGTAACTTACCTACCAACTTCCACTTACATAACTTACATAACAAGTAGTATAATTCCAGTAGTCTATTTGCAATATTAAAAATTATTTTAAAAAATATACAGCTTACTCAAAATGTCAAATATCTGTAAATCTGGTCCTTAAGGATTCATACAGAAGCATTATGGAAAATATAGTTACCATTTTATCAGCTCTCAGAGTCTTCATAAGTTTGTAAAGCTGAAATATGTAGTATGCATTTGGTTTAAAATGACTCCTCAAAAGTAACCAATACCACATTGCCTTATGGATTCAAGACAATAACAATCCATGCTGCCTCGTTTTGTCTAAACAACTGTATGCAAATAATGACAAATGAGAATTCCTCATTTGGCCACACAACCATTCCTCCAATACCTCAAATTTTTACAATTTTAAATATTTAACTTAAAAGGGTACATACATGATACATTAAAACAACTTATTCTGGATGAAATCAGTGTATAACAGGTTATGTATCTATTAACAATTACAACAGAAGTGATTACTGCAACTGTAGGTAAACATTAAATTAATATATGTACATAGTCCATACTCCCATAACAAAGAAAGTGCAACATGTGCAATTTAATTTAAACCGGCAATGATATTTCACAGAACATGGTTCTCTTGGTTGTAATGCCATGTAGTCTGGAGACAGTCCAAGTTTTGGAGAAACGTATCACCTCCATCTTCAGGGTCAAAGAAGAAGTCAAACAGGAAATCAGCAGAAGCTGACAGCTCAGATCAACCTGCTGCCTACTTCTAGCTAGTTTCTTGTTTGGCTTATTCTTTGACCCTGAAGATGGAAGTAATAAAAGAAAGTAAAAGTAAAAAAGTAAAGCTATCCCTGTAACAGACCATGAAGGCCCACAGGGTTGTGAGACGTTGAGGGTCACACATTATCTAGTCAATCGGCTCAAAGATTGCGGTAAGGTTGTCAGCCATACGCGCCGGCCGCGCTTTACTCCCCAGGAAAATTATTTAATTAATTTCTGGTACTCATTTCTGTTAGAGGCCGAGTCGGCCCCAGGGTCATAGTGTGGCTGGAAGGATTAGGTCAATTGAAAAAATCCAGTGACCTCATTGGGACTTGAACCCGCGACCTTCCGGCTTGTAGCATAGTGCCTCAACCAACTACGCTACCGCGTGCCCCCAGATGGGCGTAATACATTCCTAAAAAAATTTCTGGCTTTCTCTAAACCACATGGTGTTATAACCCAGAAGACTGTATTGTTCACAGCCATTGCTATGAAAATCTCATATCCAAACATATTGTGACATGTAGATCCATTGCTAAGTAATGGGCCAATAAAAGCACATTCTTGACAACAGAAGAGTATTTTTCTTTTGGTTCGCATATATCCATTACTAGGCAACGGCTCAGTAAAAACGTTCCTTCAAAGATGTACTGTGAAATGACAGGACATCCATCTCTAGAAAACAGATTGGTAAACACATCTACAAACTGTTTGGAGATGGTGTTCTCCATGGGGTCCACCCCTGAGGCTATATAATGCAGAATTCCAAGTGAGCAGTCAGTTTCCTGTCGGTCAAATACCTCCACCATAACCCTGCAAGTTGTAGGAGGCAATGAAAAGGGAAGTGTCAACTCTGAGACAGTAGAATATGATCACAAGTCCAAAAGGACCCGGACCCGAGAATGACTGTGCTGGCAAGGGCCAGTGGTAAATGGTAAATGTGGTAAATGACAAACCTGTCCTCTTGTCAGAGAGGGTGCCCCACATCAACAAACACGCAACTGTCTGACAGTAATAAAAATCTGGCCATAAGCCCCAAAGGGGTACTTTATTCCAAAACACGGTGGCCGACTGACCATTGGTTGTAATATAAGGCTCAGACTCAGAGCAGTAAGTCATAGAACGAGAACAAGAATGGAGTGAGGCCTCGGTGATCAAGGAAGAAGGGTTCTGCTGGAGAGTGACCATGAGTTCTTGCAACTGATTGTGATTAAGAGAGGTATCAACAAATCCAATCATCCAATCCAGAACCTGTTATTATTAGTCATGGAGCCATAAACATGTGACAATATTTTAGATAATTTTATAGTTTCAGCAACATTTTACTATAAATTTCTCTATTATTAACTTAATTCTGTATGTGAATGTGTTCTGGTAACCAAAATTATGAGCTAATAAAATATGTTATGCACCATAAAAATATTTAATAACCCACTTTACTTATAAACATTAAATTATATCCTAACAGTGGTTCTTGGAGTTTGTAAAACAAATGAAAATTATATTAGAGAAAGAGTGTACTTACTGAACCAGCTGTTGATGGAAACACAACCTAAAAGGACACAGGAATGTCCATGACTCTTCACTTGACAATATGGGAAGAGTGATCACAGACAAGGTGGTTGTTATCATTTTTCCCAGTAATCAGGGATCAGGAATAGCAGCATCCTCAGATTTATCCTCTTCTTGAAGTGTTGAATGATACTGATGATCATGGACTGCAACATCTTCATCCTCTGCTGTCTTATCATTGCCTCTTATTTCTGCAGTGTTACTAATGGCTGCAGAATTCGACAGGATGACTGTTTTAGAGCGTGATGCATCACTGGAAGCATCATGAGCGGATTCAGCCACTATTACACTTGAGTCTTCTGACATTGCAGGGCACTCAAAGTGAACGCAGTGGAAAACCTGAAAAATATTGCCAACACACTGTTATATGCAAGTACAGTGGACTCAAACTCAGTGTTCCAGCATTTAGTAAAACCACTATTATAGTGAATATTTTTCCTAGTTCCAGCAAAAGCAAAATGAGGTGTATTGTGTATTTACTGAATCTCAATTTAGCACATCATCCCCATTTAGTGAGAGAAATTTTCAAACGTCCAGAACTTGCATCTTGATTTAATGCGACTGTGGTTAAAATAATAATCGACATTCACATTTCCTCTCGGCTGGAAATTGTTCCTGAACAACTAGTGCATTTATTTCATGCCATAAATTATTTCATAAATTAATTGGATCCTCCTATGTACAGGGTGGGGGGCAGAAACTTCCTTTTTGTGAAGACGCATTGTGAAGGGCAGGGACGTCACAGAAAAGTGGGGATAATGTTGGTGAACGCAGCAGTCATGGAAGTTTCTGTCTAATACCCCTAAGTAGGAAACATGAGGCGGACGAGTGAGCAGCATGCGTTTGCTGTTGAAGCCTATTTTTCGAACAACCATTCCTACGCGTGTTGCGTACTCACTTCAGAATTAAGCCCAGAGGTCCAGTTCCTGACCAAAAATCGATTGTTTTGTGGGTAGAGAACCTTAGGACAACCGGGAGTGTGGTGAGAAAATCATCAGGACGACAACGGACCGTTACAACGCCAGAAAATGTGGAGGCAGTTCGACAGTTGATTTTCAGATCTCCAAGACACTCTGCTCGCAAACATGCAGTCGCCCTAGACATATCCAATCGTTCAATGCGCCGAATTCTTCACGAACATCTTCATTTCGTCTCTATAAGATGGTGGTTGTGAAAGAATCGTCACCACGTGATTTCCAGAACCAAATAACGGCGTGCAAAACGTTATTGGAAACTTTACCCCCTGATGCACTTGTTTTCTTTAGTGATGAGGCACATTTTCACCTATCCGGATATGTCAACAAGCAGAATATGCGCTATTGGAGTGGTAACAATCCCAGAGAGCTCCATGAGAGGCCACTTCACACTGACAAGGTGACAGTATGGTGTGCGTTGTCGAGAGTTGGAGATATTGGCCCTTATTTTTTTGAAGAAGACAATCATGCAGTTACTGTCAATTCACAGCGGTATGTGTACATGATTAAAAACTTTTTCAAACCAGCTCTTGAAGCAATGCATCTAGGAAATGTCTGGTTCCAACAGGATGATGCCACGGCCCACACAGCCCGAGCTTTGATGACAGTTTTGAGGGCAAAGTTCCCTGGACGGCTCATCTCACTTCGAGGTGACATCCTGTGGGCAGCCCACTCACCTGATCTAACGCCCTGTGATTGTTTTTATGGGGATACCTCAAGGCAGAGGTTTTTAAACATCGCCCCACAAACCTGCTTCAGCTGAAGAATGTTATTCGGCAGGAAGTAGCACAAATTCCGGTGCAAATGTTAGAACGTGCAGAGAGGAACTTCAGAAAACGGTTGCATCAGTGAACGGTGGCCACCACCTTCAAGATATTTTGTTTAAAACTACATGATTTAAAACTTTAAAGTATGTTCTTTCATTAGCTAAACATAAATTTTGTTTGTCAGCAATAATTTTTCTTTTATTTGCCTTCAAAAAAAGGAAGTTTCTGCACCCCACCCTGTAATTGTGTTTACTTACATAGAAATAAATTCTTTAACTACTGAAGTAAAGGACTCATTTTATTATGATTATATACAGCAAGTCTTATAAGAACATGAAGTTTCGTGATGTAATTTTGTGTAACACTCATTCAATGAAAACCTTGATTCAGCAAACAAATGTCATTCCCAGATATTTATTGAACAGGAATTTCACTGCACCAAAGGAACCTATAACAAACTATTTTCAGAATTCTTGTTTTGAAAATCAAGATGTCTTGCTTCTAATCTTTGCTGTCTGATTTGGGGGGGGGACATAATGAGGCGGTGCAGAGTTTGTGCTCATCATCACATTCACCAACCCACACACTTTGACCCTGAAGACATAGCCAGTATGCACCTCTGAAATGTTGGCAACATTACCCACAACCACACAATATAACAACCCAAGAACAGAATTAACATAAAATATTAGACCCCTCAAATCAAGGAATATGAAATGGGTGGGACGTGTAGCACACATCAGGCAGATGAAAATGGCATACAGAACTTTAGTAAGAAAAACTGAACAGAAAGGACCACCTGAGGGCACTAACAGAAACAGAAGAAGAATATCAAAACGGATGAGAATATGGACTAGATTCACCCCACTAGGGTCGGAATTCCGCAGAAGGCTACTATGAACATAATACTGAGCCTTCTGAGTCCATAAAAGACTGGGGTCTCGAACAAGAATTCTGCCCATGGAGTTCACTACGTTTCCTTGAGTCCATAGGACCTGCTGTGCCTACATTTACTTTTCTAACCACTATGGGGTTCAGCAGCCCTCCATCATAGTTTGCGGCACATAAGGGATAGCATCCCACGTGATCATCAGTTCTCAATGTGGTAGCAAATTTACCAAGTATCATAGGTGACTGGTTCTACTAAATTCTTAATTTATTTCTGCATCAATGTACCAGTGTCCCAAACATTGTGTCATAAGAAAGTCCTATGATGTCAAATTTGCACTGCCTAATTGCAAGAATCATGCATGATGATGTCAGTAATTTTCATAGATTTTGTGAGATTCTTAATCTTCCTACTGACATTAATGTACAACCCACATACGAAACCAAAGAGCTTTATGTTCTAGACAACAGAAAAGTAAATAGTACCTCATTTGCTGTGTTGTGTGTCCCCACAATGCGAATAAAGACAACAGGTCTTGGTTCAAACTTCAGTGCCTGCCAGGATCGACAGTTTTCATGAGTTTTATCTGCCACCAGTTCCCAGTCCCACATATCGACGGACACTTGTACGAAGTAGCTGTAACTGCGGTCATCGCAATCCCACAACAGGAACCTGTGATATTTAAAATTACAACAGGTTAAAGCCTATACATGCATATCTGATGTCTGTAATTGTAATGCTTATGTGAATAACAATAACAATAGAGGTCACAGAACATGTCTACACACCATCACATGAGTACACTTTCTGTATTTCTTAAATTTTACCTTACAGAACCAATCATATATGGCTGCCCCAGCTGGACTAAAATGGCTCCACTGCCCAGCTGATGGCATGTATATCCTGAATCCCAATCATAGTTTTTGGTGTCTCCATTCAGTAATGCATTTCGACTGCGGCTGACACCTTCAATCACAGATGCGCTCTTAGCGATGGTGGCCACGTTTTCTTTCGGTACTGAAATGTGCCAATAATGATCCATCAGTTCTAAAGAACATCAACACAAACACCTATATGCATATGACTAAAAGCAAACTGTACCGCTAGTTCAAGTGCTGGCAAACTTTAGAGCCAAAGGGTGATTAGTGGTTGCCAGTGTTCTTCCAGTCTTGAAAGAGGTTGGTCAATGCAATAATTTTTAATTATTTTAATATGTGCAATAAAAGTTTACTGCTGCTAAAATTATCTGAAATAAAATTCGTTCATTCTGCTGCAAAAATATTGTGATGTATTGTGCTATGAAGGACATCCCCTCCCCCGCCAGCAGTGATGTAACAACATCGGGCGCTGTCACTACTACGGTAACAGGCCAGTCAACACTCTGAAGACAGACCGAAGAGATTACTGTGTAGGGTTGTAAAGTGTGTAAACCTGTAACAATGTTATAAGTATTTGTAGTTATGATTTGTAGATTGTTAAATAAACCAATTAACAATCTGAACAGTGTCTTCAGTAGCAAAACACGCTACATTTGGTGTCAGAATTGTTTATGAACTTGAACACGCCTTAACTTAGGACAAACTATTGAAACGAATAGTACTGCCACACGATGGATATGGAAAAATTCTTCAAACACTTAGTGGCAAAAATGAATGCCGACCAGGCAAAGCCAGAGGCCAAGCTGGAGGCCGGCCATAATGGAGGCTGACTGAGAAGAGAGGGGAGTTGGCCAACAAAAACTGCGAGAGAAAAATCGAAACCGAGAAGAGAGGAGAGTCAGCTAACAAAAACTGCAAGAAAATCAAAACCGAGAAGGAAGAAACAAACGCCACAATGCAAACCATGTTGATCAAGAAGTTTTAAACAATGGTGATACAAATTAAAAATAATATTATGCAAAATTTTTCACAACAGCTCTGTGAACTGGACAGTAAGCTCTCATGTTCTGCAGTTCCCTAAACCCTGCAATAGGTGAACGCACAGATAATTGAAGCAAGGCTTGATATTCCTGGAACATCTCGGTCCCTAATTAGAATATCTCTGAAAACATCCATGGTCTGTGCTCTGGAGTGTTTGTAGTATCCCACTGTTTCTCCAGGCTGTGACCTCTGCACATAGTTCTTATGTTTCTCAAAACATAACAGCACCACATGGAATAATCTGTCATGCCTGCCTGAATGCCACAGTGATGTATGTTAGGGAACACAATATTGTATTTTAAATCACCAATGAAGGCAGCAGGCCAGAGTTAATTTAAATGTCCGCCATTGTAGAGTATTAAAAATTGTAAGCATGTTACTGAAAATGCTGTGATTTCTACAATTTTTGTGATAAATGAATGAAGTAAACGCTGCTTTTACCTAGAAAGAATATAGAAGCAGATATTGTTATTTACAGATTTTAAAATCGGTAAAAATTGTTACACTGAGTCCAAAAATTTTTTTTCCCAATTTCGAGTGTCTGTCCACAAATATGCATACAGTTTCTGCAGTATAAATGCATGCTGCTGACATCCTGTCTTACTATGTCTTATCTGGCGAAAGGGGAGGAAGTTTATGTTTGTATTGCACATTCTCCAGTCATGCCGGAACCTTTCTGTATGCATGAGTGTGGGCGAAGTCTTATAGTACTCTGTCCTTCAGGAACTCTGTGTATATCTCGGACTAGCAACACAGAGGTACTGTTCTCGGAATACCCCCGCATATCCCCTTGCTTCCTCGCCACTTTCAGAGTGGTCTGTACTGCATTCTGAATCGGTGTCATTTATCAGCGGCCTCTAAATTTCAGCTTCTTCCATGCGAAATGTGGCCATGGTGGATAGTCGAAATTGTGATGTTTTATAAGCATTATGATTAGAGGAAGCCACTCGACATCACTGGCCGACTTCCTCTAATATGAGACTGAGGTGTCGTGTGTGCTCTTTGCGTGGGTAAAGGAGTTACATCTGGACAAAGTGCATGAATTGCGACGTCGGACTCTGCATTCAGTTAATGACACATGAGGGAAGACTGTCTACTTATAAAGCAGGTGCCCAAAAATAATGTAAGTAGAACAAGAATTTCTATCTTAAAATTAGATTTTAAAACACTGTGCACACGTGTGAACTGCGCGTACCCATACGGTATCGCACGGCCATTCGGTTATACTTTAAAGGTCTCCATATGGTGTTGCTAGGCTCTTACAGGTTACCAGCAGTGAAGGAGAATGATACAATAGATATCAGTAGCCTAACGGCAGCTGAAATTAAATTTCTATGAAGTATAGAAGGCAAAACCTGGAGAGGATAAGATACGGGATGAAAAAATAGAAGAGACCTTAGACATAAATATACTGGAAGATAAACTAATAAATAACAAAATACAATGGTATGTGGACATTCTAAGAATAAACAGATACAACATGCCCAAGAGGAAGACCTACATCATGATGGGAACAAAAGGTCAGGAAATATGCTATTTCAAGAGGAAGCATATTGAAAGAACTTGAGGTGGGGCACTGAAAAAACACAAAATCTTAAAAAAAAGGGGGGGGGAACAAATCAGCCCTGGGGCGCTACTGGTAAGCTGACTCCAGCATGACAGTTTCAAAGTGATGACCTTTATTTTTCAAGCACCCAAGAATGACAAAAATAACTTGTCTTATAATTTGGTAAACAGATGATTACAAAAGTATAGGATTCATTTAAAACCTGAATGGGAACATAAAATATAATATGTGAATGTAGAGATGTAAAATTCGAACAGCCATTTGAAATTAAATGATATATTAAAATATTTCTATCTCTCTCTTTTTTCAAGCAGTTACTATCAAGCTTATCTGAAGCTTCAGAGTCATAGTAACTTTAAATTTTTCCTAAAATGTGAACTGTACTATGAAGTATCAAATGCCTCTTATGAACTTACCAATAAGACCATTCTGAAGTTCAATACTGTTCTGTGTAAACATGGCTTCAAAGGAGACAACATGAAACACTTTGTTCACAGTATTATTTGTGCCAACAATGTGAATGTATCGGACGACACGAGGTTCAAAATACAAGTACTGCCACGAGCGACAAAAGAACCGAGTATGCTCAATTACACGAACCCAATCCTTTTGATCCACTGACACTTCAATGTAGTATGAGTATGACCTGAAACATAAAAAATGTGTAAAAAAATTCATTTCTAAACATGGTTGACATGTGAAATAAGAGCACTTGTGACACTAGTAGCCCAACATTTCAAATCAGTGCAGATCAGGAAATTGAGTTTCTTGTAGTTTCACAACTCAGCACTTAGGGCCAAAGTGTTTCAGATCTGAAGCTTCTGTGGCAAACAAATGCACTATAATTCTATCAGATCATGAGCTCAAACAATGTTTGGCATAAAACCAATGTTTTGGACACTGGCTCTACCTCCACCCTCAGGTTCATGTCAATACTAAACACACTGTTATTACCAAAGAATAAGAATCCGTGAGGAACAGCGTAAGTTACAAGTGTGGTGAAAACCCCATTTAAAAACTATCTGAGGGTGATGATTCAAATATTAAACTGAGGAAAATCTTAAATGGCTGGAATATAACAGATGCGTATTTGACTTGGAACCAGTGAAACTGAATGTTAAATGATGGAACAGGCTTAAAATGAGAATGGTTAAATGGGGCTTCCACAGTAATGTCTTTCAGTACCTGAAATCTCTGTCCCAAAGCAACATTTTTATGTGATTAATAATGGCCTGGGTTCCTAACTTGATCAAAATGCCATGGTCTCCAGACTCATTGATAGCATGCCTGGTGTAGCCTCGCTCCATGTCGTAGTTATGGCTGTCTCCATCTAACAGAGCTGACCGCATCTCACCTTGCAACACATGTGAGCCATGCTTTGGATGTGCCATGTTCTCATCTGGCACTAAAATAGGTCAAATGATATTAAACATTACGGAATAGTTAAGCAAACAGAGTTGAAGTTATGGTTTAAGTTAAGCCTTTATGCTTTGACAAGAACAGCATAATTTTTATTTATAATTGAATAGAAGAAATATCTATCTTGAACTGGGATATGTTGGTTTCTGTATCAACTTCATAATACACAGAAGCAGAAACCTCAAAGATATAAAATCCACATTAAACATACTCGCTTGTTTAAAAAATTAATTAGCAAAAACATAGTTTTATAATCTTAATTTGTTGATTAGCTTAATTTTATACATAAACATACAATTTTTAAGTTTATTTTAACCCAAAAGTCAGTAAATTGTAGAATAATTGTTAGCACCATTCAGTGTAATTCAATTTGTAGATATTTATTGCCTCTACATTTCAGTCAGCTGACCATCTTCAGAAGGTGTATGATTAACATATTCAGGAACTACTATTACATAGTTCATACACATATTTAAAAGTTTTTATATAAAAAGTTATTTACAATTATTTGGATTAAAATCTTAACATCTAATATTTTCAGATCTTGAACAAATATGATTTGTGTCCTTGTGCCTTTTCAGTTAAAACGCAATGTTGGGGTATTATTTGACATCCCCTCTTTTTTGCTTGTTATGGTGCTGTATCACTGTGATGTCTAGGTGTTTCCTTTTCGCTGCATTTTCAGGCACTCTATTTTATTCTATAATTTAGTTTACTAGTGTGACAGACCAGAATGAATAGAGTTAAGTCAAAAGTCAGTAGTTTCCATATGCACAAGAGAAGTTCCCAAAGATGACCTAGCATGGGTCAAAACACAGATTCAAGAATGTTGTGTGTTAATTCCACTATTAATGGAAGAGTTATATTTGACAGGTGTAAAGTGACTTCACAAGATTTATCAGAAGGCAAGAGGTAACAATTCTTTTAATATTAAACTTTGGATATATGACTAAATGAATGGATAATGGATAGGTCTAGACTGGCCCTTGCACTGTGACATTCAATGAACTTTTGGTATAAGTAGAAAAGAAAACTGTAAAATAATGCCCCATACTCACTGAGACATCCTCTGTAGTTAAGCTCTGAATCCTTTGCCTGGGTCCTTGCTTGAATAGCATCTAGTATTGTGTCAGGACTAACCAAGCCAGCTGGCCTCACAACTCCAAGCAACTCTGATAATGACATAAGTGGAAGCCGAACTACACTCAAAATGTCATTGGCGTCCTCATCTGGGTTGGCCTGCACCCATTCACAGACTGCCCGAAAAATTTCTACCTCAGGCGCATAGAAAGAATCACGGAGGATTAACTCTTTAATGGCACCCTGGAAAATGAAAACAAGGGGCAGCAAAAATATCAATTAAATGTAAATGTAGATGCCCAGCAATGACAGACACATGTCAAAAATTTTCCTGTCAACTTACTACTGTCCAGAAATAGGGAATTTAAATCTCTTAGTACAATGGGGTTAGGAGCAGGGATAGCAGTCAGTACAGCAACTGATAACGGGGTGGACAACTAAGGGGTTGGAGTTAAAGTCCCAGTAGGGGCACAATTTTTCTCCTCTCCATATCGTCCAGACAAGTTCTTGGGCCTACCCAGCCTCCTGTCACTCTCATCCAATTAGTTCCAAGGTCAAGAATACATGGATCCATACATCCATTCCCCCCATACATCTTCATGGTTTAGTGCTTAATTAGTTATGCATAGGGACAAATTTACCTTTTTTTTTTTTTTTGAGTTTGTGACCATATTTGAATACAGCATACCACCATGAACATTTATGGGGATGTGGAGTTTTATCTCAGCACTGGATGGACATGAGCGATCAGCTTCCTGTTCCAGATGCTTCATCCCTGATACCCTCTGGACAGGAGGGTGGTTAGCCCCAGAGCTGTTCTAAATGTTGTGACAAAGAGAAAAATGTCCATCCCTGCTAGAAATTGAAATGAAATTCTTTGACTGACTGTACTGAAGGCTAATCACTATACTGACTGACCTATTCTGGCTCCTACTGTCTGCAATAAACCTCCTGGTTCTATAGGGCTCATTGTCATATTTTAATCTGGAGGTTAAGGTAACTGCATTTCAAAAATACAATGCTCAGCCAACTGGACTGTGCGCATGCACTGGGACAATGCATAAACATATAGCTGGTAAATGGTTAATCGCCAATTTCAATGAGGTGACCCAGCATTCCTCTGTGCCTTCCTCGTGGCATGTTAATATTATCATATTTGTCTAGTTTAGGTTAAAGGTATCCTAATCAACATGCCTATACAACATGTGGTGGCAGACTTCTTATTTTCAGACATCTATATAGTTTTACTGTACAAACTGGCTACTGTATGCTAATACTTTGTCTTACAGCAGACAGTTGTAAGAAAGTCTCATGATGAATGATTTCCAATGCATGTTGATCCATGAAGGAAGAGCAGACTCGAGTAAGGAACTGAAGTTGATACACTCGAGCAGCATCAAAAATTATGCATACATTGCGAATCTGAAGTATTTCTCGCAAGTAATCTGAGATGGAAGCTTCCAAATCCACAAATCCATACTGATGTGACAGTCCTAAGATATCCAAGATCACATCCTCCTGTTGAGGGAATGAAAAAAAAAAGAGCATACATTTTTATTACAAATAATACGGCTTCATTTTTAAAGAAACAGAATATTTATATTGATTACATGTGTACCCCATTTGAAATCTGCAAACCAATATAAACAAAAGGGAAAGACCCTAAATTATATGTATGTCACGAATTAGGTAGTAGGGGGTGGGGTCCAACTGAGTCCACTTGGCACGGCGGCCACTGACTGGCCTATTGTAGCCTGCCCCGGGTGACTATGATGATGGAGAATTTGGTGGAATGAAGATTGGCAGGGGAACCCAAACTACTTGGAGAAAACCCGCCTCAGCGCCACTTTGTCCACAACAAATCCCACTTGACCAGACCCTGGATCGAACCTGGGCCACCACAGTGGGAGGCCAGCGACTAACGCTTGAGCTATAGTGCGGCCTGAATTAGGTAACTGCTCAAGCTTTCGTAACAATATGAGTAATTATTCATACTGTGGACCCCTCGACACTGTGCAGTATTGTAGGTACTGCAGGCAATGTTCCAGAGGATCATGATGCTTCCATGTTCAGTGTGAAAGTGAGTGCAGTGAGGATTCTGTCAGGTTGTACAAGCACTCTGCAAAGATGGCGATCATTCAGATCAATGGTAAGGGGGGGGGGATGAAGCCCAGTCACAACAAATAGGAACAGGAACAGGAACATGAACTATGAGAGATGCCTCCCCAAAATGAGGCCTTGTTATGGACCTGAACAGTTACATCACAAGAGGGGCATGGCCCTGCGTGCCCACCTGCCTTGCAATCTGAATCCATCCTCACAGCATTCATTTTGACCCTGAAGACTTAGGCAATACTCGCCTACAATACTACACGATGTCACAACCTAAATGACCACTCTTCACATCATGAGTTATTGTCAAACTATTCCTATGGAGGTGAAAGACGAGAATAAAATCAAACACATGTTCATAAACTTTATTTACGATATATCTGGAAGTATGTCATACAGTAAATGCACAACCTTATGTAAGGAGAGCCCTGTGTTCAATGAGATCTCCGGTATGACGATTTTGGTTGCCATAGTGGGTTGAAATTAGAATCTAGTAACTTTTTAATGATGATGTAATGATCCACATCACTAGCTGATGATTTTTTTCCATTGCTAGTGGTGTGGGACCAAGTCTCTTGTACTGCGGCCACTTCCGGCCTATTGTAACAGCCCCAGATGACAGGTGAGGGTGATTGTGGAGCAATTGATGGAATGAAGATTGGAAGGGGAAACCGAAGTACTCAGAGAAAACGTGCCCCAGCGCCACTTTGTCCACCACAAATCCCACTTGACCAGACCCGGGATTGAACCCAGGCCACCACGGTGGGAAGTCAGCAACTAACTGCTTGAGCTAGTGGCGCGGCCCACTAGGTGATGATGCTGCATCCTTACAGATAAGAATCATCAGAGGTCACCTCACGTACAGTAGGACCTCACTAATTCAGACAAATTGGGAGCAAACCATTCTCCAAATTAATGACACACCCAATTATGGAAGTGTTACTGAAATTATGTCCAGGGGAGCTACTAAATGGACTTCACATGCCATTTTAGATAATACAACTTGTGTAACAATCTTTCTGGAATCATATTTTGATGAACAATACTGAATTGATAGTACTGTAAACTCCTGGTTGTCCAGAATTCTTAGAAACTCATAACTTCACAATTTTTATACAGTTAATTAAAAAGCATAACTATGGTATGTCCATGTGTACCATGATACTTCTCCCAGCCACCACTGGCAGTGCTGCCCATCATCCTCCCTGACATGGGTACAATTACAGTAGAAGCCTGTTGAATTTATGACAGCATTACAGTATATCCAAAGTCTTTCAGCCATCAATCCACAAAGTTCCCTAGGATGACTCCCACTCTAGAACTAAAGTGTTGTTTGGATTTGATACTGGGTTTCTGCAAGAAGTTTCTCATATAATTGGTACTACCCATTCCCTATTACAGCTCAATGATTGAAATTCTATGGTATTTCAAAATTATTCATATATTACATATTTGCTTCCCTATTTTGGCTAGTATGGTGAAGTTTGTAAGATTTGAGGCTTTCACGGCGGTGACTATGAAGAAAGCAGTCTTCTGGGATTCGGCACCGTGTATATGTGGTGTTAACCACCACACGGTGCCAAATCCCAGAAGACTGCTTTCTTCATGGTGAATTTTGTTAGCCTGAAAATTAAGTTATCACACTTTTTATTTCCACATGTCTCTACATAAAGTACAACTTATGAACAATTACATTTCTATAGTAAATGTAATTCATAATGATTCAAAACTTAATTTGATTGGCAGATGTGTCACTATTGAATTTCATTACATGTGTGTTCAACGTGGTCCATATAACCACTTATGCCTTTTACTCAAGTAGACTTTCATATACTAAAGTGAAATAGCCAGTTTTCAGATAGTTTACATGAAAAATCACTTCCAACTTATGCAACAAATTAAAGAAATTACCACATTGTTCAGAAAATCTCTAAGAGACACCATATCTCTCAAGTTATGTCCAATTTGGTCTGTATATGAATGTGTGATACATGAGAATATGTGTTACTTGCCTATATAACATTTCACGTTAGAGTGCATGTAGAGGAATGATGCTTGGATATAGCAAGGTGGGGAAAGCGAGGTTAGGATAATACATGAACGATTAGCATCAGGAACTACAACGCCATTCCTCAAATTTTTCCAGAGAGCGAGCAAGACTGTGCACTCATTTAATATTCATATGAAATGTTAGTTAGTAGTTGCTCCAGCTGTATGCAATATAATATTTCTAACAGCAATGAACTGGAAATTTATCAGTAAATATGCTCAACTTATATTATTTTAGTAACAAACCTTTTGATTGCTAAGTGACATATGCCCAGTATAGATATATTTCAGCAATCCTTTGAAGGCTCCTAATGATGTTCCTTTTAATTCAATTTCTGACTGATGTGATTCTCTCATGCCTCCAAACAGCAAAGCCCTGTAATGTCATTGTTGAAATCTGGTTTGACAATTTATAGCGTATTTTACAGACAGTTAATGTTGGAAAGAAATTCCTAATGATGATGACAAGTATTATAACACAAACGTGATTCTAAACAGCTTACTTTGGCAATATTTAACTATATAAACGAGCAAATGAACCTTCTACTCATCCAACAAAATTACTATGTAAGGCTTCTCAAATTAACAAAAACTGAGGTAACTGAATATCTAGTTCATTGTCCAAATTTACGCATGTATGTCTACTTCAAGGCACATTGTTAAACTGCTGTAATTAATGTTAAATAAATGAAGTACAGCTGACATTGTTACCTGAAGTATTCACTTCGAGCTGCCAATATAACTTTGTGGGCATGAAAACGTTGCCCATCCACTGTAAGAATCACATCACTGTATTCATCATTCAAATACAAGGCTCCAATATGTTCCGATAAATAGTTAATGTGTTCTATTTCGCCAGTAGGAGCATTCGGACCAAGGTGATGATGGCTGCTCATTATGACACTCAAATTACAGGATTTGGGTTCTCCTTATGAACTCTGTCAACAACAAAAACAAGTGAACAAATGCGATGTACATCGATTGAACTAGAACAATGCTATCTGTTGGTCACTATTTCACATTAAGTATTAATAACTATAGCAACCAATATATGAAATTCATATACATACCATTAACACAACCGCCAACGCCACGACATAACAACCGCAAAACACACGGACATATTCACAATTAGCAAATTGTCCAAGGATTATAGAAACATATGCAAATAGCATATTCGAAGCAACCACGTACGACCACGGATCTCTAAGAAGCACGGGAGCAAGGAGCGAAGAGTATATGGGCATGACGCTAAGAGCGCTGAGAGAGCGTGGACGCTCAGCAGCTGATATTTCCAATTTCTGCCGCTAGATATGCTATAGTGCTATCGAAGGAGGCATCTGTTGAAAATTTTAGATACTAATTGAGATACGTATGGCCCCATGTAAGCTTGAATGGTAACGTAATGTGAGCAATCTAAGCAATAATTCTAGTGAAGTGTAAATGAATACATTCATGTATTTATGTACTCATGCATGTCTGAATGACTGCATGTATACAGCCTGTGAAATAATATAGGACGATAATAATCTACAATGTTTATATTTGAAAGCCTTTTCTTGCATGAAAATATTAATGGAGTTTTATTATACAGAACAGCAAACACAGAAAGTTAAATTATAATTAATTTCTTTAAACGAAACACAGAACTTCAGTAGAAGTCATGATGGGTTTTTGAATGCGTTTCCTTTCATCCAGTAAGTAGTCTGATAGATATAGAGATGCCTATAGGCATCCTTTGCTTGCTTAGCGGCTGTCTGTACATCGCTAATGGAAATGCACGGTCACGGATTTTGCTCATGGGTTCTTAACTCGTTTCCATGGCCCCTTTCTCCTGCCGCACACAAATTGAATCGAGCTGCGCGGATAAAGCTTTGAGTTGAAGAGATAGAACACACATTTCATCCCACATACTAGATACCTACAAGCACGGTAATTCTCGTCATCCTCCTGCACAGAAAAAAAAAAAGCAGCACCCAGGAAGGCTTCCCCGTTCCTCATACCATTTACCCACCCAACCTTACCTTGCCGTCCCATACAGGCTCATACATTTGCTTTCCTACGTGCATCAATTTCCCATTAGTTCTTCAAGGCTCCGTAAGGAGATTACTGAGCCCCAAAGATGGAGGACAGAATACAACATTTATGTTACATGTTTATACTTAATATAGGAGACTCCGAATAACAATTCGCAGTATGCTCATCTTTACAATGAGAAACTTTTAGCTTCAGCCAGGTCCCTAAGTTGGAGGACAACCCCTTGTCGACTGTCCGTGGCTGCCTTCGCAGCTACCCTTTATATCTGGAAGCCATTACCTCAATCTGCAACCTAAGGACATGTCACGCAGCGGCGATAAGGTTCTCGCCGAACATGAAGACTGGACAGAACCACAAGGTGATGAACTTCATGGATTATACATATCGTGAAATATTATTAGGGTGATCAAACTAAGCACGATGAGATGGCAGGGCCCTATAGCAAGCATGGAGAAGTGAAACGCGCACAAGCCTTGATAAGAACACCTGAAGGAAATAGACGACTTGGAAGAAGTAAATGTGAGAATATGGAAATGGACCTTAAACTTAAAACTTAAAAAAGTGTCACATTTGACGGAAGGAACTTGATTGTTAATTGGTTAGTGTGACGGACCAGAATGAAAGACCTTAAACTTATGGAAATGGACCTTGAAGAAACGGAATGGGAAACGCTTATCAGATTTATTTGACTTCGGACAGGGACCAGTGTCAGGCTCTTGTGAACACGGTAATGAAATTCTGGGTGACAAGATGAGTAACTGACTGATCCTCTAGACGGATTCTGCTCAACGGCGCTAATAGGGAGATCGGTGGAAGCTGAAGATGTAAGAGGTTTTTTAAACTGTTTTTCAGATTTTGCGATTTAAAATAAAATAATTCACTAAAATGCGTCAATTATTGCTTCATGAAGTACGGCGCAACGACGAGCTGTGGGGGAGTGCAGGAATAGTTCCATGCACGTTTAGCCTCGGCACCAGACGATGATTAGTGGTCAGTTTCACGCGTGATCCTGGATACCGACTGAAGATATTTTTATCCCTGCAGGGAATCGAATCCTGGTCTTGAGGCCAGTAGCCAGTCACTGGATTCTACACTGAACTGCTTTACTGACTGAATTATTTTCTCTGTACAGATGGGGAAAACTCCCAAGGTTTGAATTGGCTTCAGCTGGCTTATGTATCCCAAATGTCATTTCCCTCAATGTTTAAAAGTACAAGGTAAAGTAAAAGTATCCCTGTAACAGGCCGTGGAGGCCCATACGGTTGTGAGAAGTTGAGGTTCTCACATTTTCTAGACAATCGGCTCATAGATGGCAGCAAGGTTGTCAGCCCTACGCGCCGGCCACCCTTTACCCCCAAGAATATTCCAAGAATATTCATGGTACTCATTTCTGTTAGACGCTGAGTCGATTCCAGAGCCATAGTGCGGCTTGAAGGATTAGGTAAATTGAAGAAAGTGCAATGACCTCATGGGGACTTGAACCTGTGACCTTCCGGCTTGTAGCATAGCCCCTCAACCAACGACGCTACCGCGTGCCCCTCCCTCAATGTTTAAAACTAACATGAAATATGCACTTTTCATCTTCCCGACACGTGTTACATTCGCCAGAAAGGAAAATATAATTAGAGGAAATTTTTAAATCAGCATAAATTTACTTTGGCCGGTCACGGTAGCCGAGTGGTCTGAGGCATGTACTATCTCTGTAGCCGAAGCCGGGATCGTGGGATCGAATCCCACACAAGACATGGATGTTTGGTATGCGTACGTGTGTATTCCGCTTTTGTGTTGTCCTGTGTTTAGGTAGAGGCCTCGCAAAGAGTTGATCACTCGTCCAAGGAATCTTACCGTCTGCAAAATGATAAAAGAAATCGACATCGAGAGGCATAAGAAGAACGCATTAAGTAAGTAAAATAAATTTACTTTGAATAATCATTAAATCCATAACTACCGTAATACATATGAGGATTTCAGATTAATTGATTAGCAAATACACTCTTAAATCGCCTGCTATTATTACATGTTATCGAGATGAAGCGAGAATTCGTTAAGCCTTTTACATGAACTTAACATTATTCATTTGTCAAACGTATAACTGTCTAAGGCGATACGTCACAGCGAATAAATCATATTGTAAAGGCACGGGTCATCAGTTTGGAACACAATTCAATATATTCGAAATGTACATTGACAGGGTTGAAAGACGCTCTTCTCCTAGTGGCTTACCCATTCATTTTTGTGCCCTCTTTTTATGTTCTCACCCTTTACAAACCACAAAAACTACGACGTCCCCCATCCAGTTGAGCCACACTGTACGTCGAGAAGGAGGGTTATCCACTTTACACATCGCTGTGTGCCGTCAATTCTCCTCGTCCTGATTTTCGAACGTCTCTCATTTTTCAATTGAAAACCATTATTGTTTGCAGACCTTTGTATTCCGGAAGAGTGAAAAGCTGTGTGTTTAGAAGACGTGGATGAACAAGTCAGACTCACCGATGTGACAGCTACTTCTGTTTGACAAGTACAGCCTCTGATCAATTCAAATGGATCGGGAGGTATGACTAAATAATTTATTTCATTATTTTATTCAGTAACCAGCCATGTAGCGACCAGATAATTCGCCTCAAGTATCAAACTTCAGGGCAGGGGGGCCGGCAGAAAGGTGAGGGGAGTCAGGTATATTACCACCTAATTTATACAAAAAAAAAATCCAAAGCGAAAAAAGATGTGGGTAATGTTAAAACACAAAAATGAAATTCATCAAAAGTTAAACTCTTCTACCCTGAGTACTATGTGGCAACCATCAAAATTAGTTTTAAAAGACTTATGCCTCTTTTAAAAAGTGGCTGGCCTCTTTTGAAAGAATCCTGGCTGTGCCCCTGCCTTGGGGGGGGGTGGCAAATTCGAGTGGCCTGCGGAGTGATGATGGAATGGTGCTGGCAAGGGGAAAACCCAATGAAATGCTGCTCCAGTGACCGTTAAAATATTTTTAGTGTTTGATTAATCCTAATATTCGATTCTGCAACCATCAGAACAGTGACTAATTATTGTTAAATTAAACTCAATAAATTCTAATTCCTGGTGGGAAGAAAAGAAATGAGCACAAACTTGAAGTATTTAATCGGAAAAGTAGAATCCGCCGATTCCGTGTTTACGTACAAGGATTCAGACGAAAAGTACCGCAATATTGGATATGACACCATGAAGACTGGTAAAACCTTACCAACTTTTCGGAGAAATCTACTGATTCTATCATAATGGTAGAAAAGTAAGGTGAACGTGGAAGAAAATGGTACTGATATTTGGCGGAGGGTAGACGTAGTGGTAAATCAAGCGCAGTGGCAGTACCTTTTACTTTATGTAAGACCATTCGAAACCCTGGGGTGAGCCAATTAAGTTCGATTCATTCGTCAGTCTTCCCCTCGATATGTGTTATAGCAAAGCAGAACCTCTGCATGGATTTTTATGAAATTTGTGATTTCTGAATTTCGCGAGAAATTGTAGATCCAATTAAATTTCTATTAACTCACGGATGTTTACGTCAACATCACATGAAAACCTACAGGCGTTTCTGCGATATCTCGCTAAACATGTCTCGAAGAGAATGTGTTCCGAGCAAAACTTTCGCAGAGAAATGAAACAGTTTTTATATCTTGTACACTTTCTCCGTAAGCATTATGGGTTTTGAGATAATCACACAAACATGATATAATGTGTACATTTTCGTAGTTACATGTTAAATAATCAGCCATGGTTCCTGGAGTCGGAACGGCTCACTCCGTATAGCGACGGGCTGCACGGTCCATGTTCGATTCCCGACAAATGAAGGTTTTCCTCTTCCCCGGAGCTTCCAGACTTGGAGCCCACCTAACCTCCTACACAAAGGGTATCGGGCGCTCTCACTCATCTTCATTTACTGCCGAAGTCAAGAATGGTGGAGCTATACCTCCGCTCCTGCACGTGTCAGCATAGTGCTTGATTAATTAAGTACATGGCAATTCTACCTTCCCATGGGCCGATGAATACGACCTTAATTATGAAAGAGAACAAAAGAAGTGTTTATAGAGCTTACACTGCCTTACAATCAAACTTGTTTTATTCTTTTAATGCAGTGATATATTACAATACGACTCTGAAGCATATATTAAACAAG